TTCAAGCATTGACATATCTAGAAGTGAGTCTCACTCGATGGGAACCTACTTTCAGGCCAACGAAATAAATTTTGATTTAGTTATACTATTTTGGTTGATTTATTTGATCATTTTATGTACTTAGTTGGTTTTTTTTTCTGTTCTATTTGATATGTTCTGAAAAATGAGTTCATAAAATATAATCTATAATATAATTTATATTCTATTTTAAGGTTAATTTTTTCTTGCCGATAATGGCGTGCCCTTTATGACGAAAGAAACTATTTAAAAGTTAGACGGATTCGAATAGCAAAGAAAGGACAAAGACAAAAATTTTTTATTTTTAATTTATTGAAATTTGGCTAACCATACAACGCTGTTTCGAGTATTGCGCCAAGTACTCTTCATCAGTGGACTTTGGAAATAATCGAATTTTATTTAATTAGTTTATAGTTCGTATATAATTTGTTTGGACTGCAAATGCCAGGCTATTATATTATAATAATATAATATAATAATTTATATCTAATTTTAAGAACTTCTGCTGCTGAGTTTTTAATAGATTGATGTATTTAAGCTTCTGAAGGTTTTCTTGTTTTGTACTTCAAAATTGAATTTGATACAATTCTTCGCTATATATTATATATTCATTTGTATCATTATTTTAGATTGTCATATTTTCATAGATAATATTAACATAATATAAGTCACCATTACCTACTGTAGTTAACATTCTGTTTTCAGCAATTATTATTGTACTTAAAATATCGCTATGACAGAGTATACCCATTGGTTTATTCAATTATCTTATGGCTTCATATGGAAGCATCAAAATTACTAAAAAGAAAAAACTAAATAATAGAAAATGGATAGATAGTAGATGAATTCTTCAAAGCGCACCAAAGTGATGAATTTATCCGTCATTTTGTGTGTCGTTGCTGTTGTTGTCATTGCCCCAATAATTTTCCAAAATGCCAGTGGAATGAGTCACTATAAACGATAAGTACAACGGAACGTTGCCAGAACCATAGCGCCATAGCGCCATACACAACGTTTGCCATGTTTATATGGAAATGTTTTTTCCTCGAGCACCACATAGACTAGTTCAACTTCATGTCAAAAGCAGTGTAAAGGTTCCCACTTTGATGTATCTGCACGTCATATTTATATGAGAGTAAGTAATGTATTTACGCAAGTATGGCAGTAAGGACTCATACATAATGCAAATGGTGAAATATTTTGAAAAAGTTTTGTTGTTCAAAAAAATTGTACAGAAAAAAAGATTTTAACATAATTTAATAATGACGGCATGGCACAGTATTTGACGAAATTTTAAATACGTTTGTAGGACGTATATGTCAATTGCAGAACTAATTTGTGATAACACTTTTCACATCGGAATGGTTTCAAGGGAAACTAAATTATAACACAACCAGCAAATAAAAATTTTACTTTTAGACGAAGTTATTTACTATTTTAATAGGTTATTCAAAAGGTTCATAGAAAGCCACCCATTTAGTAGTGGAGCCAAAATATCGACAACATTTTAATATAATAATTCATATTTTATAAGAGTAGTATAACAAAAGTATCACTGTGAGATCAATTCTCTCATTCCAAGCTATATATAGTGTACTTTTTTAAAAATATTAATTTCAATAACTAAACTATCAATAATTAAATGCTTTGTGAAGAAACTTTTAAAAACATTTCGAAATTATATCGGAGTCGTGTATTCTTTAAATGAGTACGGTGCTTCAAGAAACATTGGCTTATAAATACGCTGATTTATTAGTACTTTTGGATCTTGGAGCCGACCCATGTAAAACACATACGAGAAAGACAATTTTATAGACAAACAGTAACACAATCTCAGCTGTCAATCGAAAGATGTGTTCTATAGCATATCTTTTATTTCGTCTTTTGAAAGACAGAAATAGGCATTCAAGCTAGTTGCCAGATTACGAAAAATCTTTCAATAGATTTTTGTGCTTCGAAAGTATGGTGAAATGATAATTGTCAGATTGGCCTGCAATTAGAAGCTCAATTATTTTATGTTAGGATCAAAAACAGAAATATTGCATGAGTGCCGTATTTGCTATTAATGCAACAAAAATATATTCAAATGTAGGTTCGTCAACAACGTCTGAAGTGTTTAGAATGATAAAAACACATGCTGTAGGTATGTAATTTCATCACTATAAATGAGACTTTGGTAAGAGACCAGTAAGAGTGTTTAGTATTTTGGCATGCAGAAGAGAGGAATACCTATAAACTTGTTAAACAATAGACTTGGATTCTAACATTGTGGACTAATTGGTTGTAAGATTTTGTAAAGAGGTTTTTCGAACAGTAGTGAACTACAACAACAAAATTTTATTATTTATATTATTTTAATTAATTGAATTTTTGGCTGACCATACAGCTGTTTCGAGTATTGCCAAATACCCATCATCAGTGGTCTTGGAAATAATTCTTTTATTTAATTATTCGTAAATAATTATTTTTGAGACTGCAAGTACCAGGAATCGAACTCGAGTCCTGCTAAATGTGAAGTTCAGAATCAGCGCACCTTAAGATTTTGTGAATAAAAAACCGGTTTACAGAAGAAAAAAATAGTTTGCTATCAAAATTATACTTCTGCCAACAGAACTCAAAAAAACCATCGCTAAAAATTCAAATAGTTATTTTTAGTCTACTGTCGAGATTTTACTTTCTGTAGTTTCTGAGGTTCATTATTTTTATCAATAAAAAAATAATAGATGAGAAGATTCAGAGAAAAATAAACTCAGAAGATATTTTTCAGATCTTTCTTTCGCTACATAAATGGAATCCATATTTTGCAAAATAGTTAGATTAAGTGTATTGAAGTGTATATTAAACAAGTGTATATTTAGGAAGATTGTACTAAATGTAAACTCATGTTTTTAGCTTAAAATCTATTATTTAATTTCCGTTTCGGGAACTTATTGAACAACCTCGTATACTGTATAAAATTTCCAATTCTGATATACTATTTTGGCAAAGTATAAAAAACCCTAAAAGACCCTACAAACGACGATACAAACGATATGGTAAAAAAATATCTGAAGATTGTAGATTAGAGTTATGATTTCTTCTGTTATGGTATGTTACAGTAAAAAAAAATGAGGATACATTAAAAATAAGAACTGGAATAAAACAAACGAATTAAAATCATGGAAAAATAAAAAAAATTATGCCTATGTGCGCTCTTTGTATTTAAGCTTGATTTCGGTCATATATGCACTACAACGACCTCAAATGAAATGCAGTCTGGAGCTCTGATTGCGTATATCAAGCAACTGAGGATGTATATAGGCAATAGATAACAGATCTAAATTGCCAGGCATTATTTGGCAGTTTTCATAACATTCGTAAAAGTTGCTAACTGCCTCGGTTACATGTCTTCCTATTTGATGAAAGGAGCGCATAGAAATAATTTCAGCCAAATCGAAGTTGATAAAGTAATTTTTTTGCCAAAATCTGTCCGATTTATAAAAGAATGACTCATATACAAATAAAACACATTACATTAAACAAGTAGTTAAACAATCTTTTAAAAAGGGATCGGTTTGGTTACTATTCTAATGAGGTATGTTGAGAATAAGATGGATGTAATAGAGAACCTTCATCAAATTAATATATGATATATTATATATGAATATTAATATGAATATTATATATGAATATTATATATGAATATTATATATGAATATGCATATTATATCAGGAAAAATGGAATGCATTGATTTTGGTGTTACAAGTCTAGCAATAACTGTAGTACTAAGAGAGAAAAAAAAATTACATGTGCTCACTTCTTACAGAAAAAAAAATCTCATTATGGTGAGGTTAGGTTCAGAAGCCATGTGCTGACAGTTGTGATGCCCTCAAAAATTTTGCCGGGAGAAGCGAGTTGCTAACCTTTGTTATCTCCTTGTCAAACCATTTCGTTTTCCAGATGAAATTTAAGAGATCCAATAATTTGGTTTTCGTTATATCTTCGAGGACAGTAAAAAGCGATCCCCAAGATATTGAAATCGTCTTGTCTGCAAAACTGGACAGAGACATAGGAAGTGGTTGAGAGTTTCTACCTCCTTTTCATCTTGGCAACTCCTGCTTAATCTACTTATTGGAACTCGCCATCGTTGGAGCATAGTTGCAATGGCACAATGTCCTGTTTGTACTCCAGTAAGTACACGAACTGAAGGTTTGCTAAAGCCTATAAGGCTTTTTCTTTTATTTTTGTTCAAAAAATCTCATTATACTTTAACCTGTATATTATATTAGAAGTTTGAATTTTAATAGGCTGTTGATCTTTTTCTTGAAACCCTAGCTAATAGCAACAATTGTGATTTTAGTTTCTAAAATAATTCAGATATCTTGAAACTATATCTATTTATATTTATTTATTTTTTTAATGAAAAACTTACTTTAACATACACTCACTGCACTTCACTCCACAAATATATTGATTTCTGTTATTATGATGACAAATAAAATTTTTTTTGTGTTTTCTTTTCGTCCATTACTAAACATCCTTGCGACCCTCTAAAATATTCGTATTTTTCGTTTAGCTCTTAAATCGTTCCATTATATGTATTTACATATTTGCGTATATATTATCGCTGCTACGACATCAGTTGTGAGTGCCTCGAGGGAGATAAACGCAAATTAAAAGGACGAAAGTGAAAAGCTTGTCACCCCAAAGCCGGCAGTGTTGCCAATTACTTAGGGTGGTTGTCGCGATTACAGCTTCTTTATTAGCAACCACCAAATAGGGGTGGCGTGCATACGAGTATGGAACTATGGAAGTATGGAAGTATGAA